CTTTTCCTCCACAATTAGCGAGAAAGCTCTTGATTGTTGTAGCTGTCATTTTCTCTTTTTATAAGCTGTAAAACATGTACTCAAACATTTCTTTGATGAACATATTGTCACCTAGTAAAATGTAATGGCACATCATTTTTTTTCCAACAAAATGACAAAGAATAAAGTCTTTGATAATAGTATTCTTTGATGTTATAAAAGTTATCAGACTTCCAATCTGGTGCCTGCAATTTTGAAGAGGATTCATTAATCACAGTGGAGTAATTATCTTTGGCAGTCATCTTTGTCTGAGTCATGAAAAGCCCTGAAGGTGAATGTTATTATACAGTGGAGAGGAATAGAATATTCATGGTGTTTGGTGAACAAAGATTTCCAAGTACAATAAGCTATATTTGAAAGAGGGTATGTAGTGTAAAAAGCATAGCTCTATAATCATGTAATGACCTCCAGGGCTTACTCCTGTGTTTACTACAGAATTGTCATTGACCTTTCAGCAGGAACAAGTGACAGGGTATCACGAAATAGATTGTGTGTACATGAACACCAAAATTTCCTAGACTTAACCATACTGTGCATCGCTCGACTCCCCAGGTGTGCCTCACTTTACAAATAAGCTCATAAACTAAATCTATGGGAGGCACATAAGGCCAAATTTTTCTCTAGTGTCTGGTTCAAACATTTTCTGTCTTTTCCTTTGTTTATGCACAGTTATACAGATAATGTAAAACACAGGTCAGGTGTGAACTTGACTCTGAGCCAGGAAAGTAGATGTAATTTGAAAAATTCCTTTCATAAGAGGCTGAGAATAACTAATTGAAACAAAAGTAGAAAATACACTGAAATTTGATACTGTAAATTAGATGAACTTGCCAAATATACTTAGCTTAATGACTAACAGCACAAAGTACAATTGGTGGAAATTAGCCTATTATTTTAATATTTTGGAATACATGTGTTAATTTCTGAAAATGTCATAAGGATGTTCTTATGACAACAGGCCTCATTAAATCCTAACCCCAACTTAAGCATTCGAAAAGGAATACATCTCAACAAAGTTACATGATGAATATATTTTGAATTATTTTCTTTGATCTAGCCTCAAACTCCTTTATAAGATCCAGATGCTGGTTCAAACATCTCTTAAATGACCCAGAGGTGTTCAATTCAAAAATGTTTGTCACTAGATTTCTTATCTCCTTAAAGTAAATCATCTTATTGTTGTTCAGTTTCAAAGTCACATACGACTCTTTGTGACCACATGGACTGCAACGCGCCAGGCACCTTGGCCTTTATTATCTCCGGAGTTTGCTCAGATTCATGTCCATTGAGTCAATGATGCTATCTAACCATCTCATCCTCTGCTGTACCCTTTCTTTGCCTTTAATCTTTCCCAGCATCAGGGTCTTTACCAATGAGTTGACTCTTTTCATCAAGTGACCAAAACATTGAACAGCTTTAGCATCAGTCCTTCCAATGAATATTCAGGGTTGATCTCACTTAGGATTGACTAGTTTGATAACCTTGAGTCCAGGAAGTCTCAAGAGTCTTCTCCAACACCACAATTTGAGCGCATCAGTTCTTCATATAGTATTAAGTTTAAGTTAAAGGTACTGCCTTCCATAAAATATCCTAAGCTGAAAATCTCCTGTTGTTAAGTCACCCAGTCGTGTCCAACTCTTTGCGACCCCATGGACTGTAGCCCGCCAGGCTCCTCTGTCCATGGGATTCTCCAGGCAAGAATATGTCGTGGGTTGCCATTTCCTTCTCCAGGGGATCTTCTGGACCCAGGGAATGAAACCCAAGTCTCCTGTGCTGCGGGCAGTCTCCTGCATTGCACATGGATTCTTTACCAACTGAGGCACCACGGAAGCCCCAGTCACCTTTGACTATCCTCTCTTCAAGCCTCCATCCTATTCTGTTGCCAAGTTCTGTCAGCTTCATTTCTGAAACACCTCGAGCATTATTTTCTCTTCTTTGCTCAGGACCAGTGCGTCACTTCCTGCTCTCACCTTGCCTAAATTTGATTGTTACTCTGACTTTCTAACTGCTGTCTTGGTCCTATTCTCGTACACTCTAATTCTCCTTCTAACTGCCACCAAAATAATTGTATAAATGTAAATCTTCTCCCCTTGCTTAAAATGTCTGTTTTAAAATGAATTACTGTTTATATTTATGTTATCTTCTCACATGACCCTAAACAACTGTCTTAAATTATTCTCTTATAGTTTTTTTCTTCTCTTCTTCAACCCACCTTTTCATCCTCCATATCTTTGAAGAACATTTTCCTCTACTAAAAGTTCCTGTTCACAACCTTACATATGTCTTTCTCCACCTGACAAATACATAGTGATTCTTTAAGTCTCTGTTCAAATGTCCCTTCTCTGTGACACATTTATCCACAACCCCAACAAAGGCCAACCTCTTCTTGCTATGAACTTCATGAGTACTTTTAGAAAATCCTTATTTATCATATAATGCAGAGCTTGTTCCTATACTTTCTGATTACCAGAGTCTCTTGAGGGACTTTTAAACAAGAGAACTACACAATCTATGGAACTCTACTGTACATTTCTTTTGAGTTATTTCTGGGAATGGAGTCCCAGAAGCTTCCAGGACTTGAATACAATGGATTTGCTTAGTCATCTCTTTATTCCCAACTGCAAGGGTGTTGACTTGTACACGAAAAGACACTAGTGAGTGCTGGCAGAGAAAAGGTGAAGACCATTAGTCAATCTGTCCTCCACTCAGATCTGCAAGTTTACTCTGCCCTCATCTTTGACATTAATCTGGTGATAGCTTGGGCTGCTGTTGCTGCTGCTGCTAAGTCGCTTCAGTCATGTCCGACTCTGTGCGATCCCATAGATGGCAGCCCATCAGGCTCCCCAGTCCCTGGGATTCTCCAGGCAAGAACAATGGAGTGGGTTGCCATTTCCTTCTCCAGTGCATGAAAGTGAAAAGTGAAAGTGAAGTCGCTCAGTCAAATCCGACTCTTAGCGACCCCATGGACCACAGCCTACCAGGCTCCTCTGTCCATGGGCTTTTCCAGGCAAGAGTACTGGAGTGGGGTGCCATTGCCTTCTCCAGATAGCTTGGGCTAGTACCTACTAAAGCCCAGAGTAGATAAGCAACTGGATATCTACAGAACTTAGTAGATCAAAGAGCTCATGTTATAGAACAAATTGAGCAAGGGCTTTGAAGGTGGACAGAGTCTGGCTTTACCATTTTCTAGTTCTGGGATCTTGGATATGTTACCTAATTAATCTGAGTCCCAGATTCTTCACATGTAAAATTAGTGTAAGATTACATTGCTGTAGAGAGTTGGGAGAATTAAAGGAGCTGGTGAAGATAAAGCAAAGAACAGAATAGGCATATATTAAATGATGGCTCCTATTATTACAAACCTTTAGTGATCTTCTCTAACTTCATGAGTCAACATCTGATAATACTTCATGAATAAGTACTTTCTTCTAACATTTATCTCTGAAATCTTTAACTATCAGTATAGAATTGTGCTCACTGACATGAAATAAAATATTTACATAGTTTCTGCTCAATAATCCTTTAACAGGAAAATATTCAGAGTCAAGTAAGAATCCTTTATCCATGGTTTAAAATCCTGCATCAGTTTAGAGAAGGTTTAAGAACCAACTCTAAGTTGGTTAAGAATATAAATTATCTGTAATGTTCCTCAAACAGTCATCCTATCTAAAGGGTCATGGGAACACTCATGAACACTCAAGTCAAGTCCTAATCAAGCTAATATCTCGTATAAAGAAAGCTACCCTGCTGAGTGGTGACATAAGAGTATTTGGGTGGCCAAATGATGCTGTGACATTCATATCTACTCATTATTTTCCCTTCATCTTCATACTTTTAAATAACAGTAATTCCAGGGCAGACACTACCCTTTAAAATATCCCATTGTTCAACATATTTCCGAAGGAATTTTTACTTCTTAATGAATTATTCTGGTTTAATTTGGCTTAGACAATCTATAATTTTGGCAGCTGCACTTTGAGACAGCACTTCCTGGGATATCTTTGTTTACACTTTGTATGTGTGCACGTGTGCAATAAATCAGGCTCAATAGTGTCTCCCCTGTCATATTCCATCATATAATACTAATAAAATTTGACATGCTCTGGGATCTTGTGATGAATAACCATATGTGGTGACAACTTGGAGAATGCTTAAAAAATATGCTCTGCAGTGGTTTTAAAACCTTACATGTACTTCCAAGTTGTTGAAGTAACCTTTATAAAATAAAATTCTCCAGCCATGAAAAGATCAATTTAGGATGTTAGTACAAAACTCATGGAGAGATATTCACATTAAGCTTATCAATAGCCATTATATAACACAGGGTTGTAAAATGTAACATATCTAATATTGCAAAAAAGATATTCCATATTTTATATGAATACCAGAGCTATAAGACAATGACATGAAAGAATAAAGACATCACAGATTAAAAAAACTTAATTTGTATGTTTTTTTTTTCTTTTGGTTGACTTTTGGATGAGTCTGTCTCCTGAAATAGTCATTTATATACTATTGAGCTAGATTCTGAACTGAATGCTTACCAATGGTAAGCACTTTACAGCACTTAGTTTTGCTGCCTTCCTGTATCAATATTGCCATTTGCTAGTTGAGGAGACTGAGGCTAAGCCAGTGAAATTAACAAAAGTCACATAGCTAATTAGTGGAGAGATGACTAGAATCCAAATATTTTGTTCTGTTTGCAAACACTGCAGTCTCCAGGTTCTGCTGCTCACTTGTCCTCTTAGACAAAACTGAATGTCCTGCCCAGACACCATATCCTTGTGGCATTCAAATCACCTTTCCTGTAGAGCTTGCCTCATGGCTAGAGTTGTATTCAGCAGGAAGGGAAGAGGTGATTTCTGCCTGAGAGCTGAGGGCTGACTCCCACAGCTGTGCAGAGAGACCTTGGTTGCCTGTGAAAGCATATTGTGCAATTCTGCTCTGATTAGCAGCACAGCATGACTTCTGAAATCAAGCAATTTCTAAAACCCAGCAGGATTCATCTAGAGAAAGCCCTGTCAACACTCTTCTTAAACTTATATGTACTAAATTTGGTGCTAAGCTTTGATACTGAAGCCCACAGAATATTTCCTGGATGTCGTGAACTCAACATTCTACAGTTTTATATTAAAAACAACTCTCCTATTGCAACAAACTGATGTACATAAAACAATGACTAAGGTAATATTAGAATTTTCATACTTTTATTAGTATTAAACTTAAAGATAGTAAAATTGGAATTAAAATGATTAAAAAACAAAAGTTTTTCTCTTGCTTTGATTTAAACTTTTCTTTTTTTCTGAATAGAAAATTCTTCTTTTTTATTTTTTTATTGAAGGATAATTGGTTTACAGAATTTTGTTGTTTTCTGTCAAACCTCAACACGAATCGGCCATAGATAAACATACATTCTCTCCCTTTTGAACCTCCCTCCCATCTCCCTCCCCATCCTACTCTTCTAGGTTGCTACAGAGCCCCTGTTTGAGTTTCCTGAGCCATATAGCAAATTCCTGTTGGCTATCTATTTTACATATGGGGATATAAGTTTCCATGTTATTCTTTCCATACATCTCACCCTCTCCTCTCCTCTCCCCATGTCCATAAGTGTATTCTCCATGTCTATTTCTCCACTGTTGCCCTGTAAATAAGCTCTTCAGTACCATTCTTCTAGATTCTGTATATATGTGTTAGAATATGATATTTATCTTTCTCTTCCTGACTCACTTCATTCTGTATAATAGGTTATAGGTTCATCCACCTCATCAGAACTGACTCAAATGTGTTCCTTTTTATGGCTGAGTAATATTCCATTGTGTATATGTACCACAATTTCTTTATCCATTCATCTGTCAGTGGACTCTGGGTTGCTTCCATGTTCTAGCTATTGTAAATAGTGCTGCAATGAACAATGGGAAACATCTGTCTTTTTCAATTTTGGTTTCCTCAAAATTCTTAAAGAATGTTTTGCCTATATATGGAGAATTGGCATAATGTCCCTAAACTTGGGTAAAAGTGAATGAACATTGTTAATTCTACTTTGAAGACTTAAATTTTGAAATCATTCCCTCATTTTCTAACCTAGGAAATGTACTATCATAGTGATTTATAAATTATTAACTTCTATACCAATACAAGACAGTGGATTTTATCCCACATTTATTATATGTATTTCTCATAAGTAACATATTGTAATGGCTTACACAGATAATGATAATGGATAGTGTGATGGCAAAGAAGATCTTATTTAGCATTCAACATATGTATTATTTTGATATTCTAATAATATAAATTCTTCTAGAATCAGCTTAACATCTGTGTACTTTAGTCTGTAGCATGTGGACATCACTACTGGGGGAAAAGAGAAAAGTGTTATTAAATGTGAATATAACTTCCTACAATTGATAACTATTTTGAAAAAGAAATACATACATACATACATATATATATATATATTTATCTTCCTAGTCCTCTTCCTTCTCTTTTGGTTTTTTTCTTAAGCATTCAGTTTGAAGCTTTATTAGAAATTCATCTTATGATCATATGCAGGACTTTGAAGTTGGGATTGGAAGTGACTGTTGAGATACCACTTAACCCTATTGTTTTTCAACTGCACTTGAGGTATAGTAAAGTAAAGTAAAGTGAAAGTCACTCAGTCATGTCCTACTCTTTTTGACTCCATGGACTGAGTCCATGGAATTCTCCAGGCCAGAATATTGGAGTGGGTAGCCTTTCCTTTCTCCAGGGGATCTTGCCAGCCCAGGACTGAACCAAGGCCCCTGGCACTGCAGGCGGATTCTTTACCATATGAGCCTCCAGGGAAGCCCTTAGATATGGAATGAAAATCAAATACCTAAGTGACTTTTGAGCCAATAATAAAATCCAGGAAAATACAATGTAATTGTTGATTCAATGCACTATAATATAGATAGCAAATAAATTTTCCTTCCAGTTTGGAAAAAAAAATGCTCCTTAATTCTTTTAATTTACAAACTCCTTTTATTTTTTCCAGCAGTGAAGCCACAACTGCCAACAGAGGCCATTAGCAGCTTTAATGACTGTAACACTTGAAGCCTAAGTTAGGAGCTCAGTGTTCCTTAACTTAGAAACTTTAGTGTGTGGCACCTTTTAAATTGAGAAACTCTTTCTTCTTCTTTTTTTTTTTTTGGAAGGAGGAGGCAGCAGAGAATAGGGCTTTAGTGTATCAATTCATTGTCTCTATGGCAGAGAAAACTTTACAAAATCAGGCAATGCAATGCTATTACACAATTCATTTTTGTGAAAGATGATGGGAAAAGTGAGTTAAGTCTAATGCTCTCCTGTCATTTAGTGTTGTCCTTCTTACTTTTGCTTATTTGTCGTATTTCCATCATTCCTGTGTAATCAGTAGAAACTCTAGTCAACAAAAGTCAGTTATAACTGAAAGTTTTATCTAGTAGTGGTAGGGTAGTTACTAAGTCATATCTGACTCTCACAACCCCATGGACTGTGGCTGGCCAGGCCCCTCTGTCTATGGAAAGTCCCAGGCAAGAATACTGGAGTGGGTTGCTATTTCCTTCTCCGAAAGTGCTATCTGCTTCTAAGGTTAAAGATATTTTTATGAATCATATATGTATTTTCAAAATATTATCTAGAATTTGAGTAGGCAGTAGAGAAGTGGCTTGAATCTATTATTCTTCGTAAATCTTTTCCACACAGAGCTTCAAATTAAAAAAAAAAAAAGATTATTCTAAATGTAGATACTGTCCTTTTAATCAGTTAGAATTATTTTCTTCTTTCACTTTTTCGTTTATTCTTTCATTGCCCTTTTCTTCCTTCTTCCCTTCTCACATTCCTTTTCTCCCTTTCTTATTCTATTTCTTCCTTCCATTACTCTTTTCTTACTTCATTTCTTCCCCCTAGATATATTGGCAAATATCACCTCATATTTTAACACAAATGAATAACCATTTTGTGTTTCCTTAGTTTGAAAGGATTTCTTTTAACAATAAAACCATTATCTCTCAAACAATGCTTCCCCAAGGATTCTTTAAGAGCATTAAAATGTTATTCAGCATTAACAATGTTGTACCAAATATTTAAAAGTTTCTAAGAGAGTAAATCAAGTTCTCATCAAAACAAAAAGAGAATTTGTAACTATATGAGGTACTGGATATTAATTAAACTTATTGTAATCATTTCACTTTACATATATATCAAATAATTATGTAATATACTTAAAACTAGTATAATGCTGTATGTAAATTATGCCTAAATATCCTGAAAAAATTAATAAAATGTGCTATCCAAAATACTCATTTTGTAATCAAATGAGGTTTTATAACTTTGCTACTCCATGAACTGTAGCATGCCAGGCTTCCCTGTCCTTCACTATCTCCTAGAGTTTGCTCAAGCTCATGTTCATTGAGTCAGTGATGCCATCCAACCTTCTCATCCTCTATCACCCTTTTCTCCTACCCTCAATCTTTCCCAGCATCAGGGTCTTTTCCAGTGAGTTGGCTCTTTGCATCAAGTGACCAAATTATTGGAGCTTCAGTTTCAACATCAGTCCTTCAAATGAATATTCATGGTTGATTTCCTTTAAGATTAACTGATTTGATTTCCATGCTACCTAAAAGAATCTTATTGACATTAGTATATAAAGGGATAAGTGAGAATAACTGCAAAAACTTCTGTGTCTCATCCATTAACATTATGTGGCACTGTTTTCCCAGGGACAGCAATTTAAGAAACACTGAACTGAGCTAATTATAGTTGTATAAAACCATTCATGTGATCTCACAAGGGTCCCAGTTCTTTACACCTTTGAGGAAGGTATCATTGGGAAAAATTATGAGGAAATTAACATTAATGGATTGGATATTTTGTAAAGCAAGCATTATGATAAACAATCTTGCTTCTGTTGTCATAGTCTAAGGAAAGCTCCCAGGGAGAAGGTTTCGGGCACTTATGTGACTCCCTTGGTGTGGTTTTTGTTCTTGACATTGGTGTTCCCAGTAACTCTCTATCATGCCTTTAAACAGCACAGAAAAAAATGTCCTCTTTATGTGTTTATTTCAATACCAGACTTATCTTTATCTTTCCTATTTTGATGGAAAGGTTTCTAAAATTTATCACAGGCTTCCATATTTTCTTAAAGACTCATATAAATTTGATGGTTTAGATGTATTGCAAACCCTATTTTACTGTTGTTGGTGTTCAGTCGCTAAGTCATGGCTGGCTCTTTGAGACCCCACAGATTGTGGCATACCAGGCTCCTCTGTCCTCCACTATATCCCAGAGTTTGCTCAGATTAATGTCCACTGAGTCAGTGATGCTACTGAACACTAATGTCTATTAACTATATTCAAGACCGTTTGTTTTTATGATAAATAGTGAGAATAATAATTTAATAGTGACAATTTACAAGTGTTTTCCATGTGACTGACTGTGTACCACATATTTCCCATGTTATGTCATTTAATACTGACGCAGCTATAAATGACATGTATTTCTACCTTATTTTCAAATATGAGTAAATAGAGTTTTCTTAGTTTACCCAATATTATAAAGCTAATAGGTAGAATATTCAGGATTCAAACCCACATCTGCCAGATTCAGAGTTTGTATTCTAAAGTGATTATTCTACCTCATACTACAACTAGAAAGCTACAAATGGAATTAGTTTATTTTTATAGTATTCTCTGTCTTTCCACCAGTGTGGAAATATCTGTATAACTGAGGGAGTCCATCCACCACTGAGCTCTCTCTGAATTCTAGATATGCTGCTAATGAGATATGGACTCTGCAGATAGTGAAGTGTCTGGGGTCTCTACAAGGTATAGAGGATACAGAGAGGAATTTCAGAAGATGATAAATACAAGAGAGTTAGATTGGATTGATGAATATAATGAAAACATTTTATTTCACAAAAACATAAAAAAATGGCAAAGTAGAATGAGGGAAACAATGAAAAGAAATGAGAAATTTTGGGGTGAGCACATTTGTACAATGATGAATATTTTAATAATTTTTTGAAAGTCATAAACATCCCTGACTTACAGCT